GAGAGAGAGAGAGAGAGAGAAAGAAAGAAAGAAAGAAAGGAGAGAGAAAGAAAGAGAAAGAAAGAAAGGAGAGAAAGAAAGAAAGGAGAGAGAAAGAAAGAAAGAGAGAGAGAGAGGGAGGGAAGGAAAGAGAGAGAAAGAGAAAAGAAAGAAAGAAAGAAAAAGAGAGAGAGAAAGGACAGCTAATGAATGCCACAGTGTACAGCAAGTGCTTAGTTAAGATGGAAAAGGCATTAATTTTGTATATGTATAGGAAAAAATATACCATATATTGTGTGCAGTGCTAATCATAGTTTCAGCTATCCACTAAGTTCTTGGAACATATTTCGCACTTTCCTGAACATATTTTGCACTTTCCTGAACAGAAGAAGGTATTACTGTACCAGTAGTGTGTTTGTTGTTGCTGTTGTTTGTTTTTTGTTTTTGGGTGCTGGAGATTGAACCCAGGGGATCAAGCATGGTAGGCAAGCATTCTACCACTAAACTACACCCCAGCCTATGTTTGGGTGATTTTTAAAGTTATTCGAAATTTTCAATAATTTTTAAAGCTATTTGCACTCAATCACTTCTGCAAAAGATTCAGAGACTATTTTGTATATAGTAAAGAGTTGCTTCAAGTCACTTACGGGAAAGTAAGTTTCCACAATTTCAAAATTCAGAAATCCAATTATAATCCATACCAAGAGGGTAGCAATAGAAACAAAGACGATAAAAGGAACAAAGTAGCCACTGAGTTTGTCAGCAAACTGCTGGATAGGAGCCTAGAATTTAAAACAATAATAATTATTATCATTATCTCAGTCTCCATTTCTGATACTGAATACAAAGTATATTTGGTAGTCAGGTGACAAATATTTTATTTAATAAACTTCATATTAATGCAAGAAAGATCAAATGAAAATATAAAAATTATATTAAGGTTTATACTGAGAAGCCTTTAAGAAAAATACTTTTCTGTTTCTCCTAGGGAGTTGTTACCTTTGATGTTTGTGCCTCCTCCACTAGTCTGACAATTTGAGAAAGGGTTGTATCTGCTCCAACATGGGTTGCACGGATAAGTATGGATCCATTCTGGTTAATGGAACCAGCGATTACTGTGCTGCCAGGTTTTTTAGCCACTGGCATTGCCTCCCCTATAGGAAAAGTAAAGTCAGATTTAAGGAGAATAAATGATCACTATATTTAAACGTACTGTTATTTGTTAATTGTCAAGCAATTCTTTTTCAGGAAGAGATTTTCACTTTATGAAAACGAATCTGGACGAATGTCTAAGTGAAAGTCATGTTCCCTTTTTCCTTACATCACTTCTAAGCCAAGCCCAGGTAGGCACATTTTAAACTGGAAAAACCTAATATGTTGGTTCTTTTTGACAGATACTTTTAGAGTTCATCCTGTTCTAGGTCACTGGTTCTCAACTTGTTCTCAAGGAGCATTTGAAATGTGCTAGGTAGTTTCTCTTTGTAATAATGACAGGTGAGAGGGCACAAGGTGTTGCTACTACAACTTAGTGAGCCAAGAGCAGGGACAATACATTGCACTATACTATACAAGACAGTCCCCCAGAACCACAAGTTTTCCCATCCAGACTGGCAGTAGCACCCCATTGAGAAACACAGAGTCCTACATTATTCCTATATGGTTCATAAACTGCATCTCTTCTGGGACTATCCAGAGAGTTGAGGAAAGAAAGGTATTATTTGAATTCTGCTCCAAATTAGCCTTAGTTATCAAATACCCCAGATCTACCTTCTTAAAGTAGACCCTGATGTAGCAAATCTGTAATTCTAGCCCAGTTTAGCCTGGACTTGTCTTTCGGACAGGAAGACAGAATAGATATTTGCCCAAGAAAATTTGAGACTGAGAAAATATCCTGTGATTATATATTCTAATAATTAACAATCATCACTGAAAAGAGTCTTCAAAAGCATAACTAAAATCATAACGTAAATATGAAGAAATTTATTTATTAGTCTTTAAAAGAAATTTTTAAAAAATATTCTCTTTGATTATAATTTACTCATCATTTCTAGAAAAAGCTCTTTAGCTTTAGTTTCTATTTTTCATTAATACTTTGGATTCATTTCACTTTTATGTAATGATCCTCTGAAAGAACATACCTGTGATGAGGGACTCATCTACCGAAGAATGTCCTTCAATAACACGACCATCCACTGGAAATTTTCCTCCTGGAACCACTTTAATGATATCTCCACGTTGTACAAGCTCCACGTCCACTTGTTCTTCACTGAATACAAGTTAACATAAAAAGCATCATGACAATATGCCTTTCATCCTGACATTTCCACACAAGCTTTTAAGTTCATGTCAAGCTTGTGGCTCCATAATTACTACCAATGGAAACTAGGATCAACATTTAAGTTAAGAACTACTAGGTTGGTCTTGCTCACTGTTGGTAAACAATAAAGTATTTGGCACAAAGTAGGCACTTCAAATATTTGTTAAGAAATCATTGAATGAAAATTTAACACTTTAAAAGATACTGTCAAAAGAAAAATGAAAAAAAGGACCGGGGATGTAGTTCAGTGTCACCGCGCCTGCCTGGCAAGCACAAGGTCCTGAGTTTGATCCCCGGTACTGGGAAAAAAAAAAAAAAGATAATGTTATGGGTCTTTTATTTAACTAAACAATATATTTATTGTGTAAATTTGCCTAAACAATTTTATGAGTATAAAACTGACAAATATAAATGAGTGAAAGTTAATCAAGCCTTTAGCTCTAACTGCCAATTTACAAGTAACACAGGAGTTATGGAATAAGTTAAATGACATTGCAAGGAAGAAAAGAGACAAATTCAGATTGTGAGATACTCTACAGAGCAACTGATGAATGTTGCTTCAACAAGTCAGCTATATGGGGAAGCTATTCTAGATTAAAAGGACATAAACTACACAATAACAAGATATATACAAATTAAAATATCACACTGTAACTTATAAATATGTACAAATATTACATGTCAATCAAAAATATAAAATTAGGGCTGGAAATGTAGCTCAGTGATAGAACACATGCCTAGCACACTCAAGGCCATAGGTTTAATCACTAGCATGGCTAAAAAATAATAATGATAAGTATAATTAATTTTTTAAAAAGCAATAATGTACCTACTTTATTTAAATTCTATTTTAAACAAAGAGACTTAAAACATTTTGGAGACAGAGATCCAACATGGCTGAACAGAGAAGGAGCCATGTCTGAGAGACTCAGAGAAGAGCATAAAACACAGGTAATTGGACGAAGGGGAGGGATATACACCCTGATACAAAAAATCAATTTGAAAGAAGAGACTTGTAGACAAAACATGTATAGGAGTTAAGAAGAGAGAAAGTAGCCCAAAAAAGGCTCCCCCAAAGGGCCTCTGCCCTTGTACACTATAGGAACAGCCACTTTGAGAATTTTTTAAATAGCTGGTGGGATCCAAGGAATGTGGCAGAGTCTAGCCTCACAGGATAGACTTGGGGGTATACGAGTCCCTTCATCCCACTGTCTTCTCTCCAAACACTGAGGAGCCTGCAGCCCTGGAGCATTTTTGCCAGCACATACCAGGAGCAAGTAATCAGTGGCATGAGGGGCTCCCTCCCCACCACCCCAATCTCAGATTATGAGAAGATAAACAAGCTGTTGCTGCTTGTGTCAGGGGTCTTCAATATTGGGCCCTGGGCACACCCAAGCCACTATCAGTAGCCTGAAGTTTATCCCACGCCAACTGGGACATTCATCTGGCACACAGAGCTAACTCTGGTCCAAGGTTGAGACATACAGGGCAACCTGGGCTCACTTGAGTCTACACCCAGCTCTCACTGACCTGCTCTAATCCTTCACCTGCCAAAGACTCTTATCTGACACCCAGTACCAGTCCTGGGCAGCCTGAGTCTCCACGGGGACCTCCAATCACGCATGAGTCTCTGCCCAGTGCACATGGATTGTGGCAGCGTCTGTTCAGCACCAGGCACACTGGCCCCACTCTGGGCAAAGCAGTCTTCACCCTGCAGTTTTGCCAGAATCCTGACCATAGTCCCTGCCTGGCACAATGGGCCACTTTTCTGCCTGGTTAGCAGCAAGGGTTAAGGGTCTGCCTGTTTTTCTTGGTGCTCTGGACATCTGTGAGACATCATCTAGTGTCCTGTGCCCTCAAGGGGCCTACCGAAATCTCCCCACATCAGTTTTGGGAGCACTGGCATCTGCTCTGGGCACTCTGAGGTGACATGAGCCTCCACCTGGTGTTTGGAACTGGTCCCACGGACACCAAAATATATATCAGGCACCCAGTGGTGGCCTCCAACCAGCAGGAACCCATGTCAGGAGCCTCAAAATCTAATGCTCCACACATTTCCTGGGCTGGTGTGACAGCTTGGACAGTTGCCACAGTGATTTAGAGACAGGGAAATATGGAGCTGAGACATCTCCACACAAACCTACAAACTATAAAGAGGAGCAAAGAGGAATGTGATGTTTAAGATTAAAGACTGCAGGCTCTGGAAGAAAATGCTCCTCTGGAAATATGTAGGAATTTTTTTGCTTTTGCTTTTTTTTTCTCTTCTCCCCTAATTCAATTTTCTTCTTTTTCTCCTCTACTGGTATTTATTATTATTATTATTATTATTATTATTATTATTGTACTATAGGTGGAGTTTGCAGTTGTATTACCTACTTTCTTATTATCCTTTTTTAAATATAACTGTTTTATTTGTTTGAATAGATCTTCCCTTTTTTCTCTGTCTCTCTTCTTTTCTCACTCTTTCAACCTGTTTCCTGAGTATTTCTTCTTATTCTCCTTCCCTATGGTTTACTCTTCATTCCCTTCTATTAATCCTTATCCTAGTTGATTTTTTCTGTTACTATTATCTAATGCTACTAATTTTCCTTTACTCCTTAAAAGGACCTTGTACATCAATTTTACCACCTTCCTTCCATCTTCCATTATATAATTTTTCATAACCTATTTTTTTTCTTCGTGCTCCCATAGCCACACTATTTACCTTTACAAATCTGTAGGTAGTTAACTATATCTTACTATAGCTGAATACTGTTCCATTTTGAAAGGAGGTAAAATTGTTCTGTTGAATAAATATTTATTGCATATAAATACTTGGTTTGTATTAGAGTTGGTTCTATAACTATAGATCTTGTTTCTATGATTAAAAGTGGTACAGTGTTAATTATTAGAGTTTGTCATTATCTAGTTTGTGCTTGATACTCTTTATTGCAATGAACTGGTATCCTGTGCATGCCAATATCCAAATTGTCAGGGGCTCATAAACATTATTACAGTCCATTACCAAAGAACTGGGTACTAGACCAAACAGGCTGCAACCTTTCATCCCTAACAAAACAAGGTGGTAGGATACTGGGACATACCCAAAGGACAAGAGCTAGCTAAGTCTAGAGGACATATCTGAAAATTTGAAGCTGTTATAACCAGAAGTAATTCTCTCTGTAAAACATATGGACAGAGACCAAAGCACTTAAAGTAAATACCAGAAAGGGTAAAAACTACCACTGGATATATAAAGCAGAAAAGACTTCAAGAGGAGGCAACATCTTACTAAAAACTTTCATATAAACCACAAGCTCGCCTCACTTTACTAGATCTCAACCCACAGTACCCCCAAAAAAGGAAGGGAAAATAAAGGGGATAGATATATTAAAAATTAGATAGATAGAAAGACAGACAGACAGGAAGGCAGGCAGACAGACATAGGGCCATGGGGAAGCAAGGGGACAGAAGACCACTGAGGTCTCCCAACTCTCAAAAGGAAGAGCAAGGCGGTCATAAAGGGAGAGGAAAACAAATACTAGGTAGGGGAACTCTACAAAAACTATATAGAAGAGATGCAGAATCTAGACGAGTTCAAAGAGGAAATGAACCTAAAGTTCACAGCAATTTCATTCAATATGTCCAATGTAAATTTGGGAGAAACTGGTAAAAAAACTAGATGAGCTAACCAAAACAGTTCAAAACTTGAATGACAGATTCAACAAGGGTATAGAATCTTCAAAAAGATGTCAGGCGGAAATACCTAAAATTTTTAAAAAAACGGTATAGAAATCATAAATTGTAGAAATGACCAATGTGAAGACAGAGTATTTAAAATTGTGCACAAATAATGAATTACAATGAAATACTCAAAGAAGCCACAAAGAAAATACGAGAACAAGAAAAGAATATCCAAGGTGAGCCTGTCCCAGCACCCAGAAGGAAGCTCCCCGCCTCCATCCCAGGCTCCTAGGGCAGTGAAGCTCAGCTGGTCCCAGCACCCAGAAGGAAGCTCCCCGCCTCCATCCCAGGCTCCTAGGGCAGAGAAACTCAGCAGGTCCCAGCACCGGGAAGGAAGCTCCCCCGCTGCCATCCCAGGCTCCTAGGGCAAAGAATCTCAGCCTGTACCAGCACCTGGAAGGAAGATCCCCCACCCCCATCCCAAGCTCCTAAGGCAGAGAAGCTCAGCCGGTCCCAGAACCCAGAAGGAAGCTCCCCCGCCACCATCCCAAGTTCCTAGGGCAGAGAAAGTGAGCCGCGTGGGCAACAGAAGCACCCCCCACCCCGTGGAAATGAGAAAAAACATAAACAAGCCTCAAAAACAGACTTCCAGATCACCTACAGCAACCCCAAAGGGAAAGGAGATGGAACAATCTGATACTCAACCACCTGGACTCTCTGAACTGGCAACAAAAGAGGATCTGGGAAAAATGAAATCAGAAATA